CGCTAGCCGCCACGTGTGAATAATTTAGAACTGGCCAATAATGGGACTCAAATTAGCATACACATGGCGGGAACTATTTGCAACGAGCATTTATGTGCTGCAACAAAGAAATGCACCCTGCAAAGAAAGCTTCAAATTGGCAGGAAATTCTCCCTTGCACCGGGGGTTCTCTTTTGCAGCAGAAAACTCCACCGTGCAAGGAAGCTATAATTTAGCGGGGACAATTTAGCAGTGCCGAAGCACACACAAACAAAAATCACACTCTTTGGGTTGTGACACCTGACTATCCATTCTTTTCCCTGATTTCTTGACTGGGGCTTTGCTACCCCCATAGGGGCAAAGTATGACACTTTTAAATCTTGGTTTTTTTGGAGGGGTTGTTGTTGGGTTTTTTTGTTTAGGTTTGTTTTTTATTTCAGGGGGGAGGTTGGCCCAGTCTCAATATTAAGTGGACTCTGGTCCAGAAGCTGCCCCTCCCCCAGCCCCATGTTCCTTAGTGCAGGAAACCCTCACTATTTGCGGGTTCAGCATTCGTGGTTTCAGATATTCGTCCGTCCATGAATGGCTTCCTAAATACACTTAAGAGCTCTGCACTTGCTGCTGCCGGGCTCCTGCCGTCGCCAGAGCAGCCGTGCCCCCCACCAGCCACCGGGAGCACTGAGTTCAAGAACGCAGACGGCATTCATGAGCACAGTGCCTGATTCATGGATTTCGCCATTCATGGGGGATATGAGAATGTATCCCCCATGAATGGCAAGGGTCTCCGGAGGTATTGCGAAGAAATAACAACACTTAACCGAGACAAAAAAGGAATCCAGGCTGCTACTCCTTCCTTACTGATTCTGCTTTTCTTCTTACTGCAGCAGTACAAACAACTCCTCCACGAGAGCTGGTAGCAAAGAAAATCCCTCCTTCTACACCTTCTCCTCCAATCCAGGGTCAGAGTGTGCTGAGTTACAGCCCATCCCGTTCACCCAGTGCCAGCCCAAAATTCACTGGTTGCATCACTGGGTATAGTCCTCAGCTACATTCTCTGGCGGGCAGTAGCGGTTCCTACAGCGCTGTTGTGACCTACTCGCCAGGTAGCAACTATAGTAAGGTAATAACTATGACGGCTCTTGTTGGAAGAAGTTGGAATTTACTTGTTAGACCAGGGGTGGGCAAAATGCAGCCTGCGGGCCAGATGCAGCCTGCCAGGCCATTCTATCCGGCCCATGGGGCCCCTAAAAAATTTAGAAAATTAATATTTATCTGCCCTGGGCTGCCTGTCATGTGGCCCTCAATGGCTTGGCAAAACTCAGTAAGCGGCCCTCTGCCCAAAATAATTGTCCACCCCTGTGTTAGATTCTTTTAATGTACACTGTGGAACATGATTTTTGAATTGCCTAGATCCTTGTATATTTACACATTTTGCAAGATTGGAAATAGTATTCTGAGTTGAGTCACCCATTCTTCTTGATAACATTTTATATGCTTTTACACCATCTAACATGAAGTATGGCTCAGAATTTAAAGAAACACCTGAAACCTAAAAAAAAAATATGGAAGCCAAAGTAGCATCTAGTTTAGTAGCAGTTACCACTGCAATGACAACTTAGATAAATGGATGTGTAGATCAATAACTTGAATTTCTAACCAAAGTTAATTAGGATTCCAATCTTGTAAAATGGCACAATCATGCGTTCTGTTTCGTACAGGCATCTGGCTTCAGTCCCTCTCCTACTGGGTCGCCGTACCCCACCAGCATTGGACCAGTAGAAAGCAGTGGGCTGAGGTCTCGGTACCGTTCTTCACCAACACTATACAACTCCCCTACTGGCAAAGAAGACTACATGACAGAATTAAAATCATTAGACAGCTTCCTTCGAAGTGAAGAGGAGAAACAGCATCGAGTTCAGCTGGGTAAATAAATGACTGCAATGTTTCATAGATTTGCTCATAGATGTTAGGGGCTGGAAGGGACCTCTCGAGATCATCAGATCCAGCACCCCTGTGCTTGGGCAGGAAAGACTGCTGGGATCAGGTGACCCCAGCAAGGTGAGCATCGAGGCATTTTTGAAGATATCCAGAGTAGGTGGTTATACCACTTGGTGTGGCTCCCCAAATTCCATGGCACGCCTGTTCACGTGTGACAGCATACATGGGGTTGGGAAACGCTGTTCTAGCAATTTATGACCATTAGTCCTAGTCTTCCCCTGGGGAGCCCTGGTAACCAGATGTTCTCCCAGTCCCTGATATGAGCCCTTTATATATTGATGGGCTGCCACCAAGTCCCCTCTGAGTCTTCTCTTCTCCATGCTAAACAGGCCCATGTGTCTCAGCCCCTCATTGTATGGCCTGCTCTCCATGCCTCTAACCATATGCATAGCCCTCCTTTGGACTTTTTCAAACTTCTCCATATCCTTCCTGAAGTGTGTGTGGTGCCCAGAACTGGGCACAGTACTCCAGCTGTGGCCTCACCAAGACTGAGGAAAGTGGGAGGATGATCTCTTTCGTCTTGTGTGAGATGCATCAGTAGATGTATGCCAGTGTTTTGTTTGCTTTGCTGGCTACGACATCATATTAGTGGCTCATGCTCATTGTATGGTCTGTCAAGACCCCCAGGTCTCTTTTGGTTGTGGTGCTGGTAAGTGTAGCACTGCTGAGCCTGTAAGTGTGTTGTGGGTTGTTTCTCCCCAGGTGGAGCACCTTACACTTTTAAGTGTTGAACATCATCAGGTTTTGATCTTCCCACCTTGCAAACCTGTCCAGCCTGTATCCCCAGCTTATCCTCTAGTGTGACTGCAGTCCCCCATAATTTGGTGTCATCTGCCAACTTTGCCAGTCCACTTTTAACACCTGTGTCCAAATCATTAATGAACATGTTAAAAAGCACTGGTCCAAGTACTGAACCCTGAGGAATGCCACTAGTCACCAAGCGCCATGTTGACTCAGTTCCATCTATTATTACTTTCTGGGTCCTACCTTGGAGCCATCTCCCTAGCCACCAAACCGTTGAGTTATCAAGGCTGCGGTTCTCCAATTTTACCATGAGCGTGTCACGGGAGACCAAGTGAGTGGCTTTTTTGAAGTCCCAAGTATATGATGTCAACCTCATCTCCCTTATCCAGGCGACATGTTACCTGATCATAGAAGGAAATAAGGTTGGTCAGGCATGACCTGCCCACAACAGGGATTGAGGTCAAACTGATTGGCCTGTAATTCCCTGGATCCTCCTTCCTTCCCTTCTTGGACATGGGCACCACACTGGCCCTCTTCCAGTCTTCTGGAACCTCTCCCAAGTGCCACAAATTCTCAAATAGTTTTGCCATGGGTCATGTGATGACGTTAGCCAATTCTTTCTGCACTCTTGGGTGCAATTCGTCCAGTCCTGCTGACATTTAAATGTCCAGCCTCTCTAGAAGTTCCCTCATGAGATCTTCATCAACTGTTGGTGGGTGATCACCTCCACCTTGATCATCCTGTATCCTGTCAAGCAGCGTAGCACCCTTGGATTGGTGGAACACTGACCACGAAGTAATCGTTTAGGAGTTTGGATTTCTCTTAGGTGTCAGTTGACAGCTGTCCCATTTTGTTCAGCAGGGGTCCAGTGTTTCCCTTATTTTTTCTCTGACTTCCTAGGCATCTGAAGAAGGACTTTTTGTTGTTCTTAAACAGTATTTATTTAGTGATGGAAAAAGACGTAAAGAGCTATGTCTAGTAGGTATTCCGGCTCTTCTCGTGTATATCAGATAGATGCCAGTATTAGCGCAATCAACTCAAGCCATTGATACATACCTGCCTTTTTAACAGCTCTCTCAGGGTGCTTTTTGAAGTCTGATGAAGAATGAAGTCTTCCACTGAATAGATTAGAGGTGAAGCAAAGCTCAGTGAATTCTGCAGTCCTCTGCAGTACAGAAACTTGGGGAAACTTTTCTAGAGAATTTCTCTTCGCAAAGTTTGTTTGGCAGTAAACAGTCACTAACTATTTGTTTCCGGGGATAATTTCAGGGAGTTCAGATTCCAGCTCTCCTTCAAGCAGTCCGACATTCTGGAACTACAGCCGTTCCATGGGAGATTATGCACAGATTCTGAGGAAGTTCCAGTACCAGCTGGCCTGCAGGTCTCAAGCTCCATCAGCACACAAAGATGAAGCTGACATGAGTTCTAAACAGGCTGCAGAAGAGGTATATAGAAAACTGAAGGGAACCAGTAGGGGAAAAGATACAATTATGAATTTTAAAATAAATATACAAAGGCTTGGATATAACTCACATTCATGAGGTTGGAAAAATGCCATGGTACTGAACTGGCATCATATAGCTCAGGGTGTTGGTTGGATCCACCCTGCATAGCCATTCTGCAGGCCACTGGGTGTTTGAGGACATTGCCTGCTGCAGAATCTGGGACCCTTGGGGCCCAGTGGAAAGGGTAGTTGACAACAGGAGGGCGAGCGAGGGCTGATGCAGCCCCATTTGCCACTGACCCCATTGCCACCCCGTGTTGCAGCAGCCACACTGTGCTCCATGTCCCATGCAGAGATAGCACAGAGAGCATGCAGTGGAAATTGTAGCTTTGGTTCTGGCATGAGAAGCATGGTAAAAACCATAGCTGCACCACGGGCCCTGTGCTGGACTCGGAGATGCTGCTGCTGTTTGCACCATGGTCCAGATCCTGGCCTGGGGTGCAAGGTAAGTTTGCCACCCGGTACAATTCATAAGAAAGCTTTCTTTATGCGCACCAAACTCAAATGCAAACAGCTTATTTTGGAAATATGTTTGCCAGTAGAAAGCAATGCTGCTTTATACGGGGTAAAATAAATAAAAATGGACTCCTGACTTAGCACATCAGGATAACTGCCATGTGAAATTTATATTCATTTTGCAGGAAGTAGTGGAAGTCAGTAAATGCCCTTTGCCTTTTAACCCTTAACCATTTTGACCAGATCTTCACAAATATACTAACTGCATGGTAATATAAAATAAAACTTACTGCCTAGCTTTTTGAGACTAGCAGTTAAACATCATCTTCATAATTCCTGTTGTTGAATAACTTTTGTCTGCCATTTTATACTATGGATAACTTTTTAGATTTATGAGTGTCCTCTTAACTGGTATGTAGTATCTGAAGAAGCTAAACGTACAGCAAAAGTCTTGCATACATATACACTCACAGAATTCTGAGAAACAAGTATACTGCACATAAGAAATTAATTTATAATTGGGTCAGATAATAACATTTTCATCCCTTTTCTCTACTTCACACACTGATTCCTTTCCATCAAGATGCATCTTTTAGAAATCCTACTAGCTTAGACCAATTTTATACTAATACATGTAGCTAAAGGAATTGAAATAGTGCACTTAGAGTTAGTACATTTAAGTTAGTTATACAATTCACATAATATATCAAATGTGTCTATATATCTATATCTATCTATAGATAATGCGTCTCTGATTTGAGTAGCCTATAAGGTGCATCTCTACCCTACCTTCTCCCTTACCATATATCCTGTGGTGTATGACCATTCTAAAACCTCCAAGGTTTAATGTTTGTTGTAATTAATTTTAAAGATTGCCTAGCTCCTTTAAAAAGACAAACAAACCCTTCTTGGTATTCAGTCATTTTTTGAGACCTTTGCAATAAGGCTTTTACATTCTGTAACTCTTTTTGCATAGGTTTGGGCAAGGGTAATGATGAATCGACAACTGCTTGATCACATGGACTCCTGGACGGCTAAATTCAGAAATGTAAGTATTAGCATTGCTCTTTAGAGACTAAAGCTTCAGTGCTTTTCCCTTGTTTCTACAGAACTCCCCTTTAGTAAAAGTGAGCAAATCGGCATTTGCACAATTTTAATAGGAATCAACTTGATAGATTTTAATAATAACTTAATGATCTTTGATTCTGAAGAAAACTATTGCTTTTGATTTGAATGTATTATATGAGAATAGGTACTGCAAAATGGAAAAATACCAAGCTGCCACAGATGCTAGGAATAATTCCAGAGTGTGTTTGAGGATTAGTCTGTGCTCACACAAGTACAGACTAACATACAGCATACTTGCAAGACAGCTGCTAAGGCACACGTTCAACCTGAACTCGTGCACTTATGACTTCTCTGTTTTGATGACATCCTGAAAACTTCAGATTGTAAAGTTCAGCCACGTTTGAGTTACAAACAGAAAGATCTTAAAATGCAGTGAAAACGGTCAGACTTGTTTTTCCTCTTCCTCAACTCAAACCGATGACTCAGTTTTCCTCAAATATTACAAAATTGTTCACCTGGACTCAGCATAAGCTTGGAAAATTCCAGCCCAAAGGTTGACTTTTTCCAAAAGTTCAAAACAGCTGAAAAATGCTAAAATCCAAATATAATAGCACAGTGCTGTAGCAAATGCAGATTTAGTTGCACTTTAATGTAAAATAAATAACCTACTGTCAGTTTGCATCTTGTTGTAGATCACAGCATCCGTGAGGAGTGTCGTTTTTAAGCCAGTTAGAAGAGCAGTAAAAACTAAGTAAACGTTATTTGATGGAAGAATAGATTGAGTCAGGAGAAGACAGGGCTATGGGAGGATTTGATAGTCTTCAAAGACAGAAAGTGTTGTTTTAAAGAGGATGATGATCAACTATGGGTTTAAATTTCAACGAGAGAAATTGAGGTTGGATATTAGAAAGAATTTTCTCACTGTGTGGGTGGTTAAGCACTGGAACAGATTATATAGAGAAGTTGTGGAGTTCCCATCATTGGAAGTCTTTTAGATGCAGGTCATAACTATTTGGCTAGGATGGTTTACAAGCCGATGTTCCTGCTTTGAGGAGGAGATGGACTGAATGACTTCTGAGATCCCTTCCAGCCTTTTTTTTTCCATATTTTTATGATTATGATGAATATCCTCCATATTCAGTGGTGGATAATGACGTGCAGATGCTGAGGAAGTCTGGCTGATCCGTTGGTCTTGAGTCCCATCAGCACACAAGTATCATAAATGAAATTCCTTCAGAGCACTTCTTCCTTCAAAACAGATGTCAATTTATGCGTTCACATGTCCATAACTTACCTGTTCATGGATGACTTTCTGCATGTTCATAGCATCTGAGCTGTATTAATAAGAGCATCACTTGCAAATCAAGGGAAATGATCCTGCTCCTGCATTTGGCACTGAGGACGCCTCACTTGGAATACTGTGTCTAGTCTTAGGCACTGCAATTTACTTTGGATATTAGGAGGGACTGTCTCACTATGCGGGTGGTCAAGCATTGGAGCAGGCTAACTAGAGAGCTTGTGGAATCTCCATTCTTGAAAGATTTAAGAGCAGCTTAGATAAACAGTCATCTAGGATGATGCAGGGATGGTCCTGCCTTGAACAGGGAGTTGACTAGATGGCCTCCAGAGGTCCCTTCCAGCCCTACTTTCTATCATTTTATGATCTCTTCCAGCTATCCAAAAAGCCCCTATCTTGATCTAGAGATGTTCTCTAGTCTAGATGTTTCTCGTTGAACTCTTTGACATTTTTTAGAAGGGACTAAATAGTTGTTCAAGCCCCTACCTTAAAGTGATGCTCTGCTAATACAATAACATTATTTTTTTTCCCTCTTAGTTGCATTTATTGTTCACCTTCTTACTTGCAGTCTTCCCAGTAATGAAGATACTGCTTTGAGTAAGTTAGCATCTCGTAGGTATTCTTGTTACTTCTGACCTTTTCACTGTCTCTGTTTCTCCTAGTGGATTAATGAGACTATCTTAGTGCCACTTGTACAAGAGATTGATTCTGTGAGCACTCAGCTGAGAAGAATGGGATGTCCAGAGTTGCAGATTGGAGGTATAGATATGCTGCAATTCACTTGGTTTGGCTTCCTTGATTACATGGGGTAAGAGCCACCCCACCCTACCCTCCCACAAAGCATCCTCCCATTGTACCATGCCACGCTGCACTATGGGCCCTGAAACCCCCAACTGCCAGCTCCCTGGCCCCTACAGAGTGGAAGCTGGAGGAAGATGGTGAGCCTGGAGCCCATGGCAAAAGCAGCAGCTGGAACAGTTGGGGAATAGTGCCCAGGTGGGGGCCCATGGACCACAATTTAGCCCCTCAGGGGCTGTGCGTTGGACACCCGTGCCTTATAGTAGCTATATTTGGGGCAGTCTGCTTGTGTATACAGTCTTACTCTTTGGGCTCTTTGCAATAAAGCTGCACTGTGCTTCATATAAGGCAGGAGTTGGCAACATATGGCCGTGGGCTGGATCTGGCCCACGGAGCCTGTATCCAGCTCATGGAGCCTCAGGGTTTTGCCTGTGTGCACACTGGGGCTGGGCAGCTTCCAGCTGTGTCAGGACTGCTGCAGCTTCTCCCCCTTCCCCCAGCTGCAGCACAGGCATGGCTTCCAGCCAGCTGGGAGCTACTTGCAGCTGGGACGCAGAGGTAGGGGCAGGAGGGAAGCAGGGAGAAGTGGCAGAGGCATGGATGGATCCAGTTTGCAGCTGTTTGGCCCCAGAGCAGCTCCCCACCCAGCTGGAAGCTTTACTTGCAATGCAGCTGGGGAGCAGGGGGTGAGAGAAGGAGCAGCACAGCCCTGCCTCTAGCTGCCTGGCCCTGCCGCTGATGTGCTGCCAAGGCCACCCAGCCCATGTTTTAAATGTCAAACAGTCATCTCTTAACCGATGGTTCCTTGTACTGTGTACTGGGCTGTACTTAGACTCTCCAAGCCCTTTGCAAAAGGCACCATCTTCCTTTACGTTCACAGTGTCTAGCAGTTTTTGTAAGCCATGAAAACATAAAGGACAACACAACAACAAATCTTGCTCCCACTGAAGTTAGTTCCCTGGGAACAGAATTGGGCATTCGGGTAACATGAGTAATCAGTCACACAGTGTGCCAGTTATTCTTGGGACCTGTCCCCACAGTGCAACAAGCAAGCTAGCTGAAGAAGATACTGCCTCTTGGTAACTGTTATTACCTGGGTAAAGGAGCCTGTTCAGTGTTTTGCAGCAGCCAGAGATCACGTGTGCTGTCTCTTTTTGTCTTCCAGAAGCCAGCATTAGCAGTCTGAAACAAGCAGCTCTCGTTAAAGCTCCACTTATCCCCACACTGAACGCTATAGTGCCGTACCTGGACCTTACTCCAAACCAGGAGTATTTGGTAGAAAGGATCAAAGGTAATTTGTCATCGTGCAGACTTAAAAATGTGCTTTGTCATAATTTCCCTGTGTCAAGTATTAGCGATTATCATGTCTGTCAGCAACATTTGAACTTGAGTCTCGGCAGGTAGATGAAAGAGGCTGTTTTTCTAATAGCGGAAGTAGGAAGTGGAAAATAAATTTCTACTTTTTTTTTTAATCCTGATTTAATGGCAGGCGATCTTCACATAACTTTCAATATGCTCTAAAAACAGCTTTGCCTCATTCACCTTTTGCACGTGTGCTTTGAATACTTGGATTTATTTTTTTTTCATTACCTTTTCCTACCCTGCCTTAATTACAAGTAAAATTAAGTTGCCAATTTATGTGTCTTTGAAAATCTAGTGAAGACTTTTAAAAATCTTACTGTACAAGTGTGGTAGTTGTTTGTATCGTTGTACAGGACCATAGGTGATGCATGGTATCTAATACTGACATCAGAGGTTGCTTCCTTTAACTTCTTGCCCTGTGATAACTTCATACCTTTTTCCTTTAGAGCTTTCTCAAGGAGGCTGCATGAGTTCGTTTTGTTGGAATAGAGGTGGGGACTTCAAAGGCCGTAAATGGGATACAGATTTGCCCACTGACTCTGCTGTAAGTTTGCACAGTTTGGCTTGGTATGATGTTAACTGTTAAAATGCATTATTTTGTGGTGCCAGTGGTAAGAATAGGAGGCAGAGATGCAGTATGCAGATCCTAAATCCCACTTGCTTTACTTGGCTAGTCCCATTGCACTCCATGGGATTACATAGGAGAATAATGTAAACTGGATGTAGCCCCAGATAGACCATGAAAATGCTATTGCATATCTTAATCCAGTGTCAATTCCTTATTTAGATGCAGCTGAAAATCCTGTCAGAGAGTTGTGTGGGGTCCAAGCCTGACTCATTCTGTCTTCAGTACAGCAGCTGTTTTACCACACTGAGAAACAATTAATGATTAAGTAAAACTTCTGCATTCAAATAACTCCTGGTACAAGGAAAGCCCTTCATCTTGATTAAATGACTAATTCCCTTCACCAGAGCAGGTGGCAAATTACAGAGTTGAGAGAATAATAAATGTGGATGAAGTGGACTCTCTGCCTCATGCCCATTAGTTGAATTGTTTACTGTGAAAATCTGTGTGAACAGCTCAGAGAAGGAATACATCTCCTAGTGAAAGAAGGACTTGGAGTGCTGCTCCTCCCAGTCGTCCGAAACATTTTTCATCATAAATGACACGTACATGAAAGTTCAGATGAAGCAGCTCAAAGGTGGGAGAGGGGCACAAAATAATCTAAGACGTAGAAAATAAGCTTTACAGGATGAGATTTTAAGGTGCTCAACTTCTTCAGCATGTTGAGTAGAAGGCTATGAAATGATTGTAATCACTTTGTAGAGGTACCCACACCTGGAGCAGAGATGAGGTAGCAGGAGGCTTTTTCACCTCGCTGAGAAAAGCATGAAATATATGTTTGAATGCTGGACAGAGTCATCCCAGGGAAAGGGCTGGATTTCTTAGCTATGCAGGTTATTAAGCAGCGGAACAGCCATGACTTTCTAAGTCTTTCAGCCGAACTTATAGATAGCCTTTTAAAAGATACACCTTAATCCATCTTGTGGGAGAAATTCACAGCCAGAGTGTACAAGGGAAGAAGGCTACATGGCTGTGATTGCCAGAAAGGACCAGCTGTCAGTCTTGTTCTTGATGGGCCTTGAGAAAAGAGTAGTGTGCATTGCCCAGTGTGCTTGTTAACGCCTGGAGCTTTGCAATAGGATGGCAATTAATAACGGATTCCAGGTTTTCCGGGTGTTAAACCGCTCTCTGCAGGGGGAAAGAAAATTCATCCCTCCACCCCATTGCACAACAGGCCAGATATATTCTGCTACTTTTTTTCTTTCTTTGAAGCATCAGGGTTTGACCACATTTTGCTTATGAATTCAGGGTCATACAGATCATCTTGGAGATGTTTTGCCTTCCTCTGTAACATGGGGGATGGGTCACGTGCTGGGATCATCTGGCATACCCTGCCGTTGCCGGAGCACCTTGATGGCACTTTGGTTTCTCCTATCCTCTGCCTCTGGGAGGCAGTTCAGTCGGCTGAGGATTGAATTGCTTTTGTCTGACTGAAGCCTTTTAGCTTAATATAGGTCCATATAGGTGAAATGTAAGCATCCAACTAGATGCTGCAGTGGTCCCTTCTGACCTTAAACCCCTGTGGCAATGAATTAAAAATACTTGTCAGAGAATTGACCCACTGAATACAACCTGAGTACAAAAAATCACTACTAGCTCTCTGACCCGAATCTGCAAGGGAAGATGCTTTGCACCCATACCCTGAACCAAGTGGGAATCTGCCAGCTATCAAGGGGAAGCCCTCGTTGACACAAGGCCAAAAAAATCCTGGAATTCAGCCTGTCTTTTCTTTCCAATACCAATCAGAGGAGATTTGCATTGAAGAGACTATCATGAAGTCCTAAATATCTTGTCAGTCTAAACTTCTCGCTTCATATGTAGACACCCAAATGAGTTACTAGTCTAAAAATATAGTGAAAATTTAAAAAGGAAGGAGCCACTGGTTCTAGTAATCTTCCTCGGGGAAAGGGTAGAGTTGATCAGATTGCCAGGCTTTTTTTTGCAAAACACTTGCCTCCAGGAGTTTACAGAAGTGCAGTTGTTTTAGCTCTGTCTGCGTAAAGGACACCCTCACAAACGGTGATGGAAGGGGATTGAAATAAATGAGTGATTTGTGGTCAGTATTTGCTACTGAGTTTTGAGATGCCAATATGAAAACACCGTACACATGAACCTGGACGTAGCACCTGACATACAGAAGTGATCTGTCCCCATTGTGACCGATATTTCGTTCAGAAGGCAAATGAAACTCAACATCTTGCTTCAGTATTCAGACCCGTGCAGTGCCTTGGTTTAAATGCTAGATTGTCTTGCCCCTTTGAAATTTGCCTGGTTAAATCACAAATGCAGTAAAGCCACCCACTCTCAGATTCTTTAATTAGTAAATGAGCCTATTAAAGATTAATCACTTTGTTGTTGCACTTAGCTCTACAGTCTCATGGGAGCAACATTGTGTATTTTTGCTTTTTCCTCCCAGATCATTATGCACGTATTCTGCACTTACCTTGACTCCAGGCTGCCACCTCATCCTAAGTATCCTGATGGCAAAACGTTTACCTCTCAACACTTCGTTCAAACACCAGATAAGCCAGGTATTGGCGTTCTTGTATGGCTTGTATCCATTTGCATAGGTGGCATTTACTGCTTGAAGCATGATGTAATGCTCAAGTCCATGTTTTCTCTCAAACTTTTCCTTCACAGACATTTCCAATGAGAATGTGTTTTGCATCTACCAAAGCAGCATCAACCCTCCCCACTATGAGCTTATCTACCAGCGCCATGTCTACAACCTGCCCAAGGTCTGAACATGTTGGCTTTCTTCTGATACTCAAGAAGACCATGCGCTAGCTGAACACTGGCTCAGGGATTGGCAACCTCTTGCACACATGCCAGAGCGTGGTGCACACAGGCATTTTGGGTGGCTCGTGCGCCTTGGGGCAGACTGCAAGGAAGAGGCTGGGGCTGCAGTGCCACAACAAGGATTAGGCCCCTTGTAGCTCCCCCACCATCCTCTTGGAGGCACGCATACCCCCACTTCTGACAACAAGAAGAGCTAGGGCTCTGCAAACCCCAGTGCAGCTGCTTGCACCCTTGCTGCCACCTGCCACGAGCAGCCTGGGATCCATGGCAAGCAGCAGGGGCCTGTCCAGAGCCACACCGGCTGTGGCAGATAGCTGGGATGCTGCAAGCATCTGCCCCAGGGTCGATGAAGCCCTGGCCCAGCTTGTTGCTAGCAGCAGGTGCATGCATATCTGGTTCAGATGGGAGGGAGCTGTGAGGGGCCTGATCCTTGTTGTGGCAGCACAGTCCTGGCCTCCTCCCTGCCACCCACCCTGAGGCATGCATCCACCACTGGCAATGAGCCAGGCCGGGGCTTCACGGCCCCTGGTGCAGCTGCTTGCACCTCCCAGCTGCCTGCTGGAGCCAGCCCCAGGCTCTGGGCAGGCCCCTACATCTTCAAGTAGTGGTTGTGGGTGTTACTGGCACTCTGGCCAAAAATGTTGCCACCCCTTGCTCTAGCTGATCTTAGCTACTATATTTTATTGATTAGTCAATTTTATTGAGTAGGGAACTTGTCTTTGGACTATCTGAGAGCTTAGCACAGAACAAAAATATGACCATGATCTAATGCTAGCATGTGGCCTATTACTAAAATGTGCTGTTAACATAAAGTGCCTGAGTAAAGTACCTAAGTGATACCTTCCCCTGTTACACATACATTATTAAAGGAATATGTTTAAAACAGGTTAGCTAAACCAGTGTTCTGTTCTGATTCCCTGGTGGCTGCCTCTTAATTGCAGGGGCTAGCGCTGGGGAAACGTCTCGTTAAGCTGAACCTCTGCTCCATATTCATAAATACAGTCTGACCAAACCTGGGACCCTTGTAGAAAGGAATGAAAATTGTTTCAGCCTTTAAAATAAATGAAGGTCATAATCCACCCTACAAAATAATTTCATGTGGTGTTTACCTAAGTGAAACAAGTGAACAGCATCCCAAAACTAACTTGATTCCTGGAGGTTTGCTTTGACAAAGATGCCCCCAAATGCCATTTTGTAACAGTGCAGGGCACCGCTATGCCGAAACTTCGGACAGGAAACGAAAGCTGTTAAATTAGAAATTAGGCAGAGTGCTCAGGCTGAATATTTTATATGTGACATAATCTTCACCCTCTCTTCTCCTTCTGTGGATTCAGGGCAGAAACAATATGTTCCATACCTTGCTAATGTTCCTGTACATCATAAAGACAAAAGAATCTGGAATGCTTGGGTAGGTATTGAGTGCTGTTTCCCTGCACCTCATGCAGACTCTGAACAGAAACTTTTCAAGCTCCCAAAAAGCAGTTTAGCTCAAGCTCCTGCATCAGCAATCTGTAATCGTCATTGACTCCACTCAAAGAACATTGAGCATCCGTTTTCTTTCTGCCTCTCCCGACGTTGCTGGCTATCCCCCCTGAGCTTATGTTATAAAGCTCAACCTAATTTAAAATGTGCATTTCTAACAGTAATACAGATATTTTGTTCTTCTTTTCCAAGCATCAGATTAAGACAAGGGCCTCCTTTGATCTTGGGTCTAAATCTGTACCTCCAGAGCCTGCCTCCATTTTCACTTAGTTTCCAGTGACTGTTAAAAGTTTGCCGTTCAGGATGACCTCTTCAAGCACAAGAGCTCTGAACTGAACTGCCATGGAGAAAATTCAGCTTCTTTCTTCCAGAAAAGATTAATTCATGGCAGAGACTGAAATATGCTACTTAGAAGCATAAGGGAGCTGGTTTTTACCAAGCAAGTTAACTTCCTACAGAAATCTGGGATAGGAAATCTTAAGTTTGGGGAGTCCTAAAGAGTGCCAAATGGATTAAGCAAGGACAATTAGCTCCTCTTTGAAATAAAAGTAGACTTTTTATTGAAAAACTTCTTAAATTCATGCAGGTATTCATGTGCATAACAAAAAAAAAAAAAAGAGTTTTCTGCTGCTTCAGTGTATGGTGGAGCCTGCTAGGGAACGCTGTCTTCTGTGTACTAAATGACTGGCTACCTCTGCCCTGAAATAAATATCATTTATAGATAAGCATGGTTATTGTCATTGCTCAGGTATCTCTGTTTTTGGATTTATATCTTTTATTATCATCTCTCTTTACAGGCGAGTAAACCTTGGCTTATCAGGAGTGAATGTTTTGTGGATTTTTGGAGAATAATACCTCTGTTTGCTGTAGCTGGCCTCCAGCTTAAATGTAAGAAACACCTCTGCCTCTGCGAAGATAACTGAGCAGCTTAAATACACTCGTTGCCTTGAACATAGACTTGCTGTGGGACAAAATTCTTACTTATCTCTGCTTTGTGGACAGAGGAGATGTTTACATTTCATATTTTGTTCTTGTGAGAATATACTTTTTTTTTTTTTAATAATTTGAGCATGGAAGTGCTCCGAGTCGCTGTGATTCCACATCCGATGCCTCTCTACCAGTTCCTGCCTTGAAGAAACACACTTGACAAGCCTCAACCGTTCTTTTAACTGAGGTGCTTTTCAGAGCTCATTGCTGTGGCTACTTCAGTTAGATACAGCCCCCCACACCAGCAATTACACCTGGTGAAGGCAGGATCCTGCAGTGCGCCTGGGACTGCCCAGCTACGGGTGTACATTGCTGTTGATTTCTACTGCGGTGCAAATGCAAGATCCACGAGCTCCAGCGGAGGCCGCTTGGTAACCAGATTTCTCTCGTGCTCAAGATGTTCAGAGAATCTGTTTGTTAATTAACATCTTTATCGTATCTTATCAGAGAGGTTCATGGCCACCCTCGCAGGTGCCCCCGTACGCAGGATTTTTCTAAGACCGCCACGTTTCTAAGGTGACTGTCCTGGAGAGAGAAATGAAAGGAAGCCTCACACCTAACTCACTAGTCAGGCTTCACTGGTTTGGATGGCTCTCAAAAGAACTGAGGTGCCTTTTAAACTTGACTTTTTTTTTTGAGTGCAGTGACACATGACTTGAGCGCAGATGCTGTGGTATCCCAGCTTCGGTTACTTTTTTAAAACTTTTTTTTTATTTTATTTTTTTATTTTATTTTATTTTTTTTTTAATTTAAAGCTCTCACACTGGTGTTTCGGCTACTAATCCTTGATTTTTTTTCAGGGATATTTCTCTGAGATGTAAAAACCGGTCCGGAATGGAAAGGGGTCTCTTACGTGCTTCAGGGCACTTTAGGATGCTTACATGAGGATATTCCTAGGAGTGCAGGTGTACATTCTGGTCCCAGTTGATCTTCATTGCTGGGAATTTCTCTTTAACCGAGAGAACTAGGCACAGCTTGGCTGGGAAATGGTCACAAAGCCTCCTGCTGTTCCCTCCTCTGGCGCTGAGAGTGATCACCTACAAGCAAGAATCAAACTGGCGACTCGATCTCCTGTCTTGCTTTTGGGTGCCACATCACCTGGTTGGATCATCAAATCAGCACCCATGTCATGTGCAAGATCTGCTCCCTTTACTAGAAGCTTATATGATGATGGATGGGGATATCCTGGCTTTGGACATAACCCAATGTGGTGTTCGACAGTTATCTAAGCAGTTGTGCGTAACGCAAGCTAATTGCTTGTTAAAAAACCAGTTTGGAAAAAAACAAACAGGTGCTTAAATGTGTGTCAAGGTGTGTTCCTAAAGCCATTGAAATTCCTGGTGAAACAGGAAGTTTTAAAAATGTGTAGTTTTTAACTTTTTATATTAGGGAGGATGTATTTCAGAAACCCTCTGGGAGGGGTCTTCATTCACTCCTCTGAAGTGTGAGTTTATAACAGGTGTGCCCACTTAGTTTTACCCATCAGCTCACGCTGGCCAGGAAATCCGGGCATTTTAATGTCACTCCAAAGTGTAAAAACACTGAAATCCTGCCAAAAATATTCATCAAGGGTTCATTAAATGTGCTGCCTGGATAAACATGTGCAGAGCATACAAAACCTGAATGAGCTGTACTGTGACTTCATGTTCCTTGTACCATGTTTCCATTTTTGTATGAACTGGATTGCCTGCGTACACAAGCAGTTAGAAAGAACAGCGTTGGCATTTTCCCTGTGCTCAGTCTTGTTACCATTCATTTATTGTTTTGGGCAGACACCTGGCGTTTTTTAGCATCAGCTGGATCCCTGTTTGTTGTGGGGCCTACAAGTTGTTGCACACAATACTTTTGCCAAAAAGTTGGGATCGTTACTTGGAGATCGGACTGTTAAGAAAATGTTTGACTCAGTGCCTATATTAAACAGGGCTGCCTTGTTTAAACACTTGTGTGGTTTTTGCGCAGTAACAACATCTGTTGTCCATGTTGATGAGTTGTGGACTTATTCCCCCCGTCATGCCGTTTACTGTCAGATTTGCATGAGAGTTGATCTGCAGTAACAAACCATTGACCTTCAGTGCGATGGGCTGCATGGCTCCAGTACCGGAGTTTGGGTAGCACATTTTAGTTAGGGCCGATAACAGAACTGATGAAATTTGGGGCCTATGTATTGGAACCCTTTTGCAAAGGTTTTGTACGAAGCGAAGGGGGTATATTGTAGTGAGTTGAACCAGTAAAGTGACTTCATGTAGCCCACTTTGCTTCCTGGTTTAACTTAATAAAATAAAGGCCTCATGCGGTAACATGTATCTGAGGGTAGAGAGTAGTTTTAACATTCACCTTCCATCCTGGAGGATGGCACAGCCAGCAGCATTCGGTGGCTGCAGTTTTAAATCATCTAGTGTAAAAACATTTGGTGGGTTCCTTTGAACCTGGGGATTATGTCTTCTCCTCCTACGGCCACTCAATAGTTTTGTACAAGTGCTATGCTGCTGGAAGCAGAACTCAGTCATTCAGGTTTTAAACCCAAATAAAACGACTTCACCCAAACAAGTTCTTTATACAGGTATATCAGGGCTGACACCTTGTCCCTGAGATGTCTTCTTGAAGGCAAGAAAACAAACTAGTGTGAAAAAATACAGAAAATAAAGGACGTTTGTGATCCAAGGTGTAAGGGAAGATGCCCCGGTTTTTATAGCACTTGCCACTGGTCCCCTGGAAGTGCCTGCTACCTGCAGAACAGTGACTGCTCTAACACTAGAACTTGGTTTTGTCAGTAAAGGTTTCCTGCTGCAAGGTGTGGCACTGAACATAAAGAGCTTAAACTACTGTAGTGACTTGCAGCCGCAAACTTGATTTGAAGGCAAGAGGGTGTGGCCATCCTCCGAGTCCGTCTCTCCCCCCCATGTTAAATGGGGGGAAAAAACCCTTGCCTTGGACCTGAGTAAATACAATATGAACAGGACATCGTCTTAGTTACACACATGGTTCCCCTCCAGTTCCTAGTGAATGGGTGTCCAGCCCCGAAGTAAATGCATCTTGGCTCTTTGGCGGTAACCTCAGGAAAAGGCGGCCAACACAAGAATGGCTTTGGGACAAATTTACGTCCTTTGCGTGGTCTCCTTCACCTCGCGTCTCAAGATCTTTGCCCATGATGCAGCTGTAGCCACCTGCTATCTAACACAGGCTCGGGTTGTATTAAACACTTGAGCTGTATTGAACACTGCATGTATTAAACGCTGCTCGTCTTCCTAGGCTGAGCTGCCTGGAGGGCTGGCTCTGTCTCGTACGTTTGAAAAACACCTTGCCTTGGAAAGCCAAACAACCAGACGTCCCCATGACCTAAGATGGAGCGGGGTTCTGCGCTGTTTAGTGCCTTTGCTGTGAATAAAGCCTCCAACTCCAGTAGGAGAAACACATCTCACGTGCATGCTGACTGCTTCATTCAAAATGTATCTCGCTGCGTCCTGACAGCCTGTCCCAACGGTTGGCCCGCGCTTAAAATACTTTGTTCACCTCTTACTGAGCCATGTTCAAAACCTTTGCTCCCGTCTTCCCTTCGCATTGGGAAGAGACAGTATTCCTGTCATCCGCTCGCGCAAAGCTAAAGAAGGGAAACAGTGGGTGCATCTACACGTTCAGTAATGCGCAGTGGCTGTTATGCATTCAATGTACTTGCAAAAAGAAGTAAATGCGCAGTAGGCTGCCCTACTGCGCATTAGTGCGGTCATGTTTTGTTCATAATGGTCAATGCGCAGTAGACTAATGCGCATTAGTGTAATAGTTTTTGCTGTGCTGTGCAGCCAACCAGTCTATGTGCATTAAGTGTCTCAGTTTCTAGGGTCAGAAGGGACCTGAACAGAACTTTAAGTCTGACCCCCTGCCCTGGACAGGAACGAGTGCTGGGATCATAATACCCCAGCCAGATATCTACCCAACCTCCTCTCGAAGACCCCCCAGGTCATGTAGAGTGACCCCTACACTCACCTACAGTGTTTTGTCTTTGTCCAGGATTTAATCCCTTTGAAAGGAAAACATCTGCTAATAATACACCTGTTTTTTTCACATGTTTCCTTCTAAGAAAGTCTATCTAGATGGTCTTATTCACCAGCCAATTTCTGGTACCACTATTGGACTTACTAGACAGTACTCAGTGGGCACGTCTACACGAGACACTAAATGCGCAGTAGACTCATTCTAGTGCGCATTAGTGCATCTAATGCGGCAAAAGCTGTGCTATTGCGCTAATGTGCAGTAGAATGAGTCTAGTGCGCACTAGCATCACTACAAAGGTGTGCACCAGTGCTACTGCGCAGTAGTTCGGTAGAGTTAGTCCCTGTTTTATCCCAGAGCTAGTACCTGTGTATGGAGTTAGTACCTGTTATCACAGGTACTAAACATGCCATAATTATGGCACATTAATGCACATGTAGACATGCCCAGTGTCCCATGCTTATACTACCTGTAAATGTTTTCCCCCAAATCATTCATTTTTTTCCTGACTCAGGAGTGGCGTCCACACGCAGTCTGGATTGCACGTGGAAAGCCATTCTGTTTTTTCGAGAGGGCTGTAGCATACGTTGGAATAGAAAAATTGAATCTGTCCCTGTAAATGTGAGGACAATCGACCCTGGTTGGAGCCATGAAATACTCTTAGTAATATGCAGCCGCCGTATAGAGCTATACATGCCTCTCCACGGATTGCATGGACCAAACGTATCCCTTGCTTTGAGTCACGCTACTGATGAGCTTGCCCCCGTCTGCTCCATCAGAGCTGTGACCAGAGGAAGGAGTGACGGCAACAGGGATCCCTGGCTGCCTGCAGCCCCCTCTGTAGTGCTGCTAAGCCGTGGTACAGCGTTGCAGCCAGCCCCAAAAGAGCTGCCATATCCCAGCCGGTCTATAGTCTGACACCGCTCAGCATCCATAGCTCACGTGTTGGAAGCAGCAGGCCCCGTTGGCCCTGTGAAATTCCAGGTGGCAGAAGAGTAAAAAATCACAACCTTCTCAATGGCCACAGATTTGCTACGGTACAGGCTCCACCTGCTGAAACCCAGAGGCAAGATGATGTCGCCACCACTGCATCGACCTCTCTGCTCTCGCGTTGTCCCTTTCTTCTCGTCTGGCCACATTGGGAACGATCCCTCTTTGCTCAGCGCATCGCGTAGGGCTCTGGTTGGACGGTAGCAGCGTGATTATTAACAATCAAGTCTCACGTTTCAATAAGATGAAGGAGTTGAGACCTGAATCCTCGCTCTGCTTCTCTCCTTCTTCCTCCGCATGGCAAACCTTGCATTTATTTTCTTTCTCTCCCCACATTTTGCACCAGGATTTGGAACTAGGTAAAATCTGAGTTGGCTCATACCCCACCCGACATGCGCTGTTGGCAACCCGGGTGAAGGAGGCGTTTAAAATCCAGGGTACACGTCTGCTTCGTTCCCTCTCGTAGTTCAGCACGCTCAAGTCTCATCCCAAGGACCAGAGACAGGAAGGAGGGGTATCGTTTGATCCTCTGCCACCGATCCCCATTGCAAAGAAGGAGGAAACGGATATTTTTATGATCACAAAACAGCGGAGAGAGACACTGGGGCATGAATCCTGCATGTCTATTCATAGGTTAAAAGGGCTGGAGGATTTTATGGCTCAATGGGTGCGCCTACAGGAGATGTTTAACGTGCAGTAATAACACTATGCAGTAGTGTGCTGGGCAAAAACTGCTAATGCACTACTGCACAATAGTATTAGGTTACTGCACAGTAAGTGTCACTAAAAACCGTGCACCAGTGCTACTGCGCAGTAACCGGACTTGCTGTGTATTCAGTTAGTAGTTCATTACACAAGCACTAAATTAAATGCACAGTAACGACAGCGCATTAATGAACGCGTAGACGTGCCCACTGCGCATTCAGGAACGTCAGGTGCTCGCTACGGTCAGACGTGAGCGTGTTAGGAGTTCGGGCCAATGCTGCACCAGACCTAAATGCATCCCCACCCTGCCTGGGAGAAGCACGCAAGGTTAGCACGATTTAACATGTTATCCATGAATATTGTTAAAGAGTCAGACCTGGGAGCCTGGTTTTCATGGCCTCTCCTACAGCAGACGCAGGTGACCCAAGCCCAGGGTAGCAAGGGGCTGCTGGGCTGGTGGGGGCTGCCCCTTCCTTTCCTGCTTGTCCTCAGCTCCAGCTGTTTCCCCCATGGACTCCCAGCCCTGGCAGCTCCAGCATTTAGAAACGTCCAACTCCCAGCCCGAGCTCGTTCATCACCAGTCACGTCCTTTCGCTCGGGCCAGAGACCTGGCAGGGGGTGGGGGTGCTCATTGCCCCCCTCCCCTGCTGCTGCCTCCCCCAGCCCGGTGTCTGCATCACGCATCCGGTGGGCTCGCGTGGAGACACCCCCCTTGCAGCGGGGACGTGCGCCCTGGCTCTTCCCCGGCGCTGCGGAGGACGCGCCCCAGCTGTGCCGGCCGGCCGGGGCGGGGCGGGGCGAGGC